TGTGAGCAGTAGAGAGCTGGTTCGATTTTTCCGTGCTCTGTTCATACAGTGCTTCAAATTCTTTCGAGAAATGAGAAATCATTAAACATATTGTATCCTTATCATCTCGCAAGAATAAATTTCTTCACAAGCCCACGAGTCCCAAAAAGCTAAAGGTGTAGCCATCAACAGCTAATAATTATATTTCTGTTTCAAATTATGGAGCATCAATTCCACATAAATATGAAGTTCAAATCAAATCATGTCAGAGAAATAAACATTTCAATACACAGATCCCAATACGAGTACTTCATCAGTACACGTCACCAGAATTCAGCGTCCTTCAAGCCCTAAAATTCAACTGAATACATTTCGGCCATGGAGTTACCTATACATCATATTATATAATAAACAACTATCCTGAGGACAGGCGTTAGACTAATGCAACGGGATGCTCTTAACTCACAATTTCCCCGCATTTACATTCATTGCAGCGCATTCTTCTCACGATGTCGCGCTCCCTATGCACTACGACGCCTTCCGGTTACGACTTCGTAGCACCCTCACGAAGTGCAATGCCGTCCAGTCACAACTAGGGATGCAACGGTGACGATCATTCACCGGTTCACCGATCCAAATCGAATACCGTACCTACGGTTACCGGCCCAGGTACGGTAACCGTACCTACAGTTATCGGTGCAACTACGATAACCGTACTTACAGTTACCGGTCCAACTATTATAGGGTGTGGGTGTGGGTATAATTAGAAACACGCTCCCACACACCTACACCCACACCCTACACACCCACCCATCCACACCCTACACACCCACCCACCCACATCCACACCCCACACACCCATCCATACTTACATCCCACCCACATCCACACATGCACACCCACACTCCACACCCGACACCCTACCAACACCCTATAATAGTTGGACTGATAACCGTAGGCACGGTTATCGTAGTTGGTCCGGTAACCGTAGGTAAGGTTATCGTACTTGGACCCATAACCGCAGGTACTATTATCGTACCCGGATCGATCACCGTAGGTACGGTTACCGTGGTTGAACCGGTAATCGTAGGTACGGTTATCGTATTTGGACCGGTAACTGTGGGTATGGTTATCGTAGTTGGTCCGATAACCGTAGGTACGGTTACCGTACCTGGACCGATCATCGTAGGTATGGTTGCCGTAGTTGGACCAGTAACCGTAGGTACAGTTACCGTAGTTGGGCCGGCAACCGAAGGTATGGTTACCGTACTTGGACCGGTAACAGTACCTACAGTTATCGGTCCAACTACGATAACTATACCTACGGTTATCGTCACTGTTGCATCCCTAGTTACAACTTGGTGGCATCGTCATGCAGTGCGACGCCCTCCGGTTACGACTTCGTGGCACCCTCACGCCCTCTTGTTTGATACTAAGCGCGTCTTATAAATAGACGGAGAGGAACTTTTTCTTAATGTTTCTTACTGGATTT